GACAGGGTGTGGCTGGTACAGGTGAAGTGTACAGTGGGACAGGGTGTAACTGGAATGGGATCAGCTGTATCTTTTCATGGATGCCCCTGCTGAGGCCAGCACTTATTATCCATCCAGAGGGCAGTTAATTGTTGAGCGTATTTCTGTCGAAATCAAGTGTAGGCCAGAACAGGTACAAATAGCAGATTTTTCGCCCCCTTAAGGGCATTGATGAACCAGATGGGTTTTTATGACGACCAATACTGGTCATCATTAGGGACTCTGTTTTTAATCGAATCCACATCTCACCCTCTCCCATGCTGGGATTCGAAGTCAAGTCCCCCAAACATTAGCTTGGGGCTCTGGATTACTAGTCTGGTGATACTTCCATAGCCTCCACCAAGTTAACACAGGTAATGTATACAAACCAAAGGCAACATGAGGAAAAGGTTGACACAGCGGGCGGTTAGGATCTAGATTCACTGCCTGAGGCTATGATAAAGGTAAATTCCATTGTGGCTTTCAAAAGAGAATTTGATAAGCAGCTGAAGAGAAAAGGGTGACATGTAAAAGGCTGAAGAGTGGGACTAGCTGATGTAACAGCTACAGAGAGCTAGAACAGGTAGAACAGGCGGAGTGGCCTCCTCCTGTGCTGTGACCACTCCACGATTTCATGTATCTGGCATTGCTGGCATGGGCACTCTGTGGTGAATTATCTTGTACCTGATATTCCAGAGGTACCATGAATTCCAGGGCTGCATGCTGCAGTTCAGGACGACTGTGTGGGTTACAGTAGCTGCCAGTCATGGGATCAACGAGGAAATTCCCAGGAACTGGAGGAAGAAAGAATTTGGATAGTGAACTCCAATTGATCCAGATTTCTCTGCCACATCCTCTCCTTCACCAAATCCTGTTCACTTTCCATCCTAATCATTATCGACCTCCTGCTGTGACCACCCACCCAGTGAACTGATTTCAATATCTGTATTTTAGGATATGGTGCCCTTTGCTACTTTCACCTACACAGCCTCGACTGTTTCCTACAGCCTCCATTTGTCCACCTCTTCCATTACCATTATCCCCAGCTCCTGCTGTTGGCACCAGAGCTTTAGGCATCTCTCCACGCATCCCACCTCCACCACATCCCAGGAATTCTCTATCAAAGTCCCCAGACCTTGCCTGTCTTTCAAAGGCCATTCCCCATCCTTCAGAGATTCCCCCCTTCCCATGTTTTAGTTACATGATAGCATATGAATTAGGCACAGGAGTAGACCATTCATCCCCTTGAGACCATTCCACCATGCAATTGTAGCCTTAACTTCACTTTTCTGCCTTGTCTTCCATAATCCTTGATGCCCTTGTCAGTCAGTAATGTTTGATTTAGCCCTGAATATATTCATTCAGTGACCTAGTCTCTGGGAGAGAGAATTCCGAATACTAATGACTCGCTGAGAGAAGAAATTCATCCACATCTCCATCTTAAATGGGGGAGCCTTGCATTTTGGAATCCTGCCCCTAGTCTGGATTGCACAAGACAGGAAACAGCCTCCTTGGAAAGTCCCCTCAGAATTAGGGCTGCATGGTGGCTCAGTGGTTAGCACTGCTGCCTCACAGCACCAGGAACGCAGGTTCAATTCCACTCTTGGGCGACTGTGTGGAGTTTGCACATTCTCCCCGTGTCTGCTTGGGTTTCCTCTGGGTGCTCCAGTTCCCTCCCACAGTCCAAAGATGTGCAGGCTAGATGGATTGGCCATGCTAAATTGCCCATAATGTTCAGGGATTTGCAGATTAGGGGGATGGGTCTGGGTGGAATGCTCTGAGGGTCACCGTAGACTTGTTGGGCCAAAGGGCCTGTTTCCACACTGTAGGGATTCTATGATCTAATCTGATATGTTTCAATAAAATCACTTCTTGTTCTTCTAAATTCCAATGAGTATAGGCCCAAACCTTTGGCTCATGTTCTGCTGCTTGGCTTTTCTGAAGCACTTTTGGACACTGCCAGGTTGCCAATGAAAAGGACTACTCTGTCTTGGCTGGTTAAGCTTCTTGATTTTTGTTGGAGCTACAGCCTTCCAGATAAGTGAAGGCCATTCATCACATCAAACCCTAGGTTACTTTTTAATGATCACTTCAGTTGGTTAGCTGGTCTGATATCACGGGCAGAAAGAGAGAGTTGGCCAACTTTCCTCAGCATTTGCCACACAGAGACCTATTTGACTGGGCCACAGTACTGGTTGCCTTCCCTCAAGACTGCTGGTCACTGATGGAAAAATCTGGGAAGTTCTACTCACTAAATCAAGCCTGCCATCTAGATAAATTTAAGCCAGAACAAATTCCCATCAGTTGACAAATGTTTCTGATTATATCAGTTACCAATTGTGCATTATCCAGAAGTGTCTTTATTCCTGTCAATTTGCATCTGTACATCCCTCCCTTACATTGGCAATGAGATAATTAATTCTGTTGGGCTCTGCATTTTTAAAAAATTCATTCACAGGATGAGGTCATCATTGGCCAGGCCAACATTTATTGCCCATTGCTGAGAGTCTAGAGTCACATGTAGGCCAGACCAGGTAAAGATGGCAAGTTTCCTTCTCTAAAGGACATTAGCGAAACAGATGGGGTTTTCCAACAATCAACAGTGGTTATCATTAGCCTCTTAATTGCAGGTTTCCTTTTCACTGAATTCAAATTCCACCATCTGCCATGGCAGGATTCGAACCTGGGTCCCCAGAATGGCTTAACAGTCCAGTGATGATACCAATAGGCCATCACCTCCCACTATGTAGCAAAGTAACAATTAACAAAGTAACTATTAGATGTTGCACTTGAATTGTACATTCAAACCATCTTGGTTTTCTTCTGGTGCCTTATGATGACATCGGAATTCTTTGCCCCAACTACACATTTCCCAGTCATCCAATATTCTCCACTGGATTTTGAATATGTACCTAAACTTTGGTTTGGCCACTGCTCTGAAACCAAACTAGGTGTGACATTTAGCAATTTGGCCTGCTTTCCGATGTTCAGGAATGTAGGGTTCAAATATATAAAAATATTCTGGAAAGACTGGGTCATCTTTTACTGGAGCATAGGAGGTTGAGGGGTGACGTTATTAAGGTTTATTAAATCATGAGGGGCATAGATAAGGTGAAGGATGAGGATATTTTCCCTAGGGTGGGGAATGCAAAACAAGGGGACATATGTTTCAGGTGAAGGGAGAAAGATTTAAAAAGGACACAAGGGATAACATTTTTTTTTCACACAGTGGTTTTTGTGTGGAATGAACTGCCAGAGGATGCGGGTTCAGTTACAACGTTTAAAGGGCATTTAGATAAGTTCATGAATAGGAAAGATTTGGAGGGATATAAGCCAAATGCAGCCAGGTGGGACTAGTTTAGTTTGGTAACATGGTTGGCGTGGACTGGTTGAACTGAAGGGTCGATTTCCATGCTGTATAACTCTGACTCTATATAGGGAGTAACAGGATCAGTTAGGATTATATTCACTGGAATGTAGAAGAATGAAGGGTGTTCTGATAGAAACCTATAAAATTCCAACTGGATTAGACAGGGTAGATGCAAGAAGGATGCTCCCAAATGACCGGGGAGTCCAGAACCAGGGGGTCATTGTCTAAGTATAATGGGTCACTATGTAAATATAATGGGTAGGCCATTGAAGAGTTAAGGAGGAGTATCTTCACCTAGAGAGTGGGGAGACTGTAGAATTGTCTGCCACAGAAGGTGGTTGAGGCCAAAATATTGAAGACTCTCAAGAACAATACAGATATAATTCTTAGGACTAAGGGGATCAAAGGATGTGGGAAGAAAGCAAGAACAGAGTACAGAGTAGGATGGTCAGCCATATTGAGTGGTGGACTCAAAGGGCCTACTCATGCTTTTATTTTCTATGCAAGTCAATTGCCAACATGTGCTCTACCATCATTAAGAGAGAAACAAACGTTGCACTTCCAGTGTTGCTGGTCGATGAAGGCGATGAAGGGATTGATGTAGGTCTGACATGTTGAGCAGCGAGGGGGGACATCAGTGATCAGCAATGGTGGTTCCTGGGGATGAAGCAAGAACAGTCAAGTTATCCATCTTGTACCAATACTGCAATCATGAGGCTTTATCACGGCTCCTAACTCAGCTGAGTATCATCAACTCTCCAGGATTGAAAGACTAACCTCCAACAATACAGCCAGAAGCAAAAATCTATGGGGACATTTTAAAACAAAAGTTTGGAGAAAATAGTCCTTAGGACGGTTTTGATGGTTATAAATAAATAGATTGGTCAAATGGGGAGCAAAATAAAAAGGCAGCTTTGCTGAGGGGCAGATGTTATTCAATCAAGCAGTGGAGTCTGCCTGCTTTCAGATTGGCTGTGGGAAGGTGGGACACCATGACGATGCAGGAGTTAAGTGACCAATGGTGGGTGTGTGGGGCATGCAGCATGTGTAGGTTGGAAGTCATATGATGATTCCTCCTGGTCCAACCCCAGGCTTGGCAACCCTGCTGCAGCCACACAGTCTTTAGAAAGGTGAATTTATTAAGATGCAGCACATTCCATCAGGAATGATGTATCGATGCTATTATTATGTATGATTTATGGTGGAGCATTGGTCTGGTGACTCAGTAGGTCATATCCCTGCCTCTGAGCCAGGCGTTCCATGTTGAAGTTGTCCCCCAGGATCTGTTAACCACAGAAAGGGCTATCATCCCACAACCAAACAGGTTGAGAACCAACCTACTATTCCTTCCAATATGTCCATGGCAGGTACCAAGACAGGGAGAGATTCCTGCAGAACCGTGCTTAATGTAGAGTGGATGCCCCTCAATCTAAAGTCATCAGTCTTCCTCTAACAGAAGGAAATATCTATGGACTAGGGCATTAAAAGCAGATCGAGTTTGTGTGGAAATCTCAGGAAGTCACAATGTTGCTGTACAAGGCTGTAATCAGCACATTGGGCAATTCTGGTCACCTACTCATAAGAAGGACCATTTTGCTTTTGATAAGGTGCAATGTTGATGATCCCATATATAAAGAATTGAGCAACACAGGAACAGGAATTGACTAAACAGCCCCTCAAACCTCCTCTGTCACCTGGCTGATCTACACTTCAGCCTGGTCTGTTTCTTTTCCATATCTTTTGATCCTCTTAGCACACAAAAGAAAAAAAAAGAGAATCAAAGGCTCTCAGTCTTGAAAACTGATCCAGAAATTAAGGTGCGACAAATGGTTGGGAATTCTCACAACCTGAGGGAATGTTCATTCCATTCGACTCACCCTGGAATCTTTGAATGGTTGGAAGATAAGGCCCAGAGGAAGTTTCACCTGTTTCAGCAGTGCCAGAGTCTGTGGAATATTCACCAGTGTACACTGAAACACACTAAAGCAGCAAACAGTTAAATTGCAGCAGTGTTGCACCATGAATTCTACAGACGGAAAGTAACTTATTACATACCCCTCCTCCCCACACCCATGGGATGTGCCCATGTCTGTTTGAATCTCAGACACACTGGCTGTGAATTAGAAACAAACAGAAGTAAAAGCAAAATACCACAGAAGCTGGAAATCTAAAACAAATACAGAGAATGCTGGAGAAACTCAGCAAGTCTGGCAGAATCCGTGCACAAGTGTTATCCCAGACTTGAAACATTAACTCTGTTTCTCTCTCCACAAATGCTGCCAGACCTACTGAGCTTCTCCAGCATCCTCTGTGGTTGCGGAAAGTGCTGGAGAAACTCAGCAGATCTGGCAGCGTCTGTGGAAAGAGAAACTGAATTAACACTTTGAGTCTAGCATGACATGTTGGAACAGAAGAGAGGTAGAAATATAAAATATAATCTGAAACTAAAATAGAAAGTGCTGGAGAAACTCAGCAGGTCTGGCAACATCTGTGGAGACAGAAGCTGAGTTAACTCTGCTTTCTCCCTACAGATGCTGTCTTCCTGTTGAGTATTTCCAGTAATTTCTGATTTTGAAACAGAGTTAAAGTTTGGAGTCCAGTGACTCTTTGTCAGGACTGAGGTAGAAATGTGACGTGGTCAATGCTGTTGAAAGAGAACAAAAAGTCTTTTTGACTTTTAACACAACTGATAAGCGCAGACCCAACTTGTTCAAACTGTCCTCTTTAGACAACCTGTACATCCCAGGAATCATATGTGTTTTTTCAGTCGTTCATGGGATGTGGGTGTCATTGGCTGGGCCAGCAGTGATCGCCCATCTCTGATTGCACTGGAAAAGGAACCTTCTTTCCCCCAGTCAATATATTTCCGAGCTTGTGAGCAGCACAGCATCGATGCTGGCATGTCTTTCTGTCGGTGTTAACTGTACGACAAGCCCACAGTACTTACTCTGAGCAGCAGTTCAGTTTCCGGAGGTGGGTGCTGAGGTTTGGCTCAGGTGCCGTAGCTGGCTCTGCCCGCGGCACGTCCCTCTGCTGGAGGAGGTCGACTGGCCAAACGTGACCCGGCTGGAGGTTCAGGTCAGACGCTGACTCTCGTAGCTGCTCCATGCAGAACGTATCCTGTCAGGACAAGCACAACGCAAAATCACCAACCAGATGAGCCACTCGGAAAAGAGAGAGAAAAACGGCCTCAGGTTTCTTTTTGTCTGTTCAGTGAAAAAATAAATATCCATGTGTACCCCACTGGAAGTTACCAATGAAGCTGGTAATGGTGATGCCGGTAATGGTGATGCCCCCCTCCTTGTACCAAGTTGGATTCCTGGAATCAACAGGGTAAACACAAGAAAGATGTTCGAGATGACCGGGGAGTCCAGAACCAGGGGGTCACAGTCTAAGGATACAGAGTAGGCCATTTAGGACCGAGATGTGGAGATATATCTTCACGCAGAGAGTGGTGAGGCCTGTGAAATTCTCTGCCATAAAAAGCAGTTGAGGCCAAAACATTGAATGATTTCAAGAAATGGATCAAAAGGTATGGGGAGAAAGTAGGAACTGAGGGCACTGAGTTGGGTGATCAGCCATGAGCATATTCAATCACTCAGATGGCCTACTCTTGCTCCTATTTCCTATGTTTCCTGTTCAGCCAGAAGTTGAAGCAGTGAAAGGTAGTCAGGCTCACAATGTGGAATACACGTGCTTACCAAAAGATATATCTATCTATAAGAACCGAACATAAATAGGAGCAGGAGTAGGCCACTCAGTCCATCAAACTTGCCCCAACCTTTCATAAGATCATGGTTGATCTGCCCTAGGCCTCAACTCCCTCTTTTGTGCCAGCTCAGCAAAGCCCTCAACTCCCCAATATTTCAAAAATCTTTTCACCTCCTCTTTAAATACTTTCAGTCATCCAGCCTCCACATCCTTCTGAGGTAGAGAATTCCAGACATCCACCACCCTCCACACCTCAGTTTTAAATGAGTATCCCCTTATCCAGTTTGAGATATCCCCCACTCATGGAAACATCTTCTCAACATCAACCCTGTAAAGCCCCCTAGAATCTTGGATGTTTCAATGCAGCCATCCAAATGGGCTTCTTCGATGCTGTAACCATTCTATAATTCCATGTACCAACCTGTACTGCTGAGCTGCTCTGAAAATCCGTCCAGGATGACCTGTTCTGCAGATTTTGTCCTTCGCAGCTCTGTGACTGAGATCCAATGGGCCCATTAGAGTCTGAACAATGAACTGGAAGGGACAAGGTGGACACATTCAGCTGTTGTCCTATGGAACCACAGAATTGTAACACCCGCAAATATCCAGCTTCATCAGCTCAGATTCAAGCACACATTTTATAAATGTCAAACACAAGGTCAGAAAGTTAAGCAAATTCCAAAATGTCAGGGAATGAGCAGACAGATTGGCAGAAAACGCCACAGACAACTGCACTGACTGGGAGAGAGCAGGGACAAATTGGAAATGAGTAGAGAGCAGACAAACTGGGAGGCAGTAGAATATACAGATAGAAGCAAACAGAGTAGACAACAGATCAAATTTCAAGAATGAGCTTCATAATCCCCTTGCCTAGAGACAAGAGGGCACCCAACTGAGCCAAAAACAGGCATTTACTTTAGCAGGAATCACTGTCACTTTGTAGATAAGGACAAACTATTGTTTGCACAGCAAGATTCCACAAACAGCAAACCAAACAGCAACTGTGTTGAGCTGGTAGGAACTGCAGATGCTGGAGAATCTGAGATAACAAGGTGTAGAGCTGGATGAACACAGCAGGTCAAGCAGCATCAGAGGAGCAGGAAAGCTGACGTTTCGGGCCTAGACCCTTCTTCAGTCTAGGCCCGAAACGT